ATAAGAAGGTCAAAAATACAGTGTGCTTCTATTCTGAAAATAGTACACTTTATTATTATTATCAACAATCATACTTTAGAGCCATAGTTCACACGACTCTTATATATTCCATATGAAGGTAATAACCCAAAACGTCAAATCATCACACTGACGTGCACATGAAATGGAACCCTATACAACAGCAGTGAAATCTGCAAACGTCTGAAATGAGATTCCATTTGGGTCTAATCCAGCATTCTCCTGATGCGGTGTCCAATAACTGAAAACGTTGTCGTCAAAGCCAATCTGCACAATCACAACAGGTTCTTTTGCAGCAATCCATCCATGCACGTTTCTGTTTTGATAAAACTTACACTAATCCAGTCGACCGATTTCAAATGTACGCGATGGACCCAGTTTCAAAGCATTACACAGACCTTAGCAAAATGGCAGGGGTTACAACAACACACTGTGTATGTCTGCTTCCAAAATGTCTTGGAAACTGTTTGTACAACATTAAATTCCTGTACAATATAGATTAGTCAGTAGTCTTCTTGCGAAGCCTTGACCAAACCAGGAGGCCCAGCTACTCCAATGTATGAATATGAATATGTATTCATATTACTTCCTATGACATCTTGTATCTTTGAAACACTTCTTTTTCATTCATCATGGTCACGTTTATCTTCGTTCTATTTCCTAATACCTGTATTGTCCACATGGGAACCAAGGACATGTGAAGAGTAACGTAAAGACGAACAACAATATGAGCTAAATGTGATTCTTGTACGGATCGTTATAACAGTCGGTCATACAACTAAAGTAAATACAATCACAGGTGTACAATAGAATCATTTTGCAATTGCAAGATATCACTATATATTACTATTATAACTATTATAACAATAATGCATTCTTTTTTTCAAAAATATATATTCTATGAAACGTACACTTGTGGATAGTTACTACATTTTAATCTTCACTCGTGTAAAGCATCACACGAATAAGTGAATAATAACCGGATATTTACATCGTATGCCATATATTAACAATAACACAAACTTCAAATATAAATAATACATAAAGGTGTCTCTATGTTGAAATGTCACATATAAGAACAGCAGTCACTGTTATGTATTTTGTTATACTGCATTATGTCACCATACTGTAATGAAAATGAGCAAAACTCTTGCACGATTGTATATTCATTATGATAAAAGATGAAATGCACACGTTTATAAATTGCATCAACAAATATGGCTACAAATATCAATGTTTAATAACCATGAATATATATGCAGCAGATCATTCCCTTTACTACTTTTGACAAGGCAACCCAATCCGACATAAACAATAGTTTCAATAAGATAAGAATCAGAATCATTAGGGTACAAAGTTAATCTATTTCAGTTTGTTTTGGAGAAGATTGTATTTGACATAATCCTGAAAATGACTCCAGCTTTACATGTAAAACGCACATGTGAACGGCAACAAACTATTACTTGTCACACAAGCATTTATATCGACGAAACAAATACATATCCATGTGCTGTTACATGTTCCGGTTGGTTGGTTGGTTGGTTATTTAACGCCGCACTCAGCAATATGCCAGCTATATGGCGGTGGTCCCGATCTACGCAATTGGGATACGATGACACGTGTCAACCAAGTCAGCGAGCTTGACCACCCGATCCCGCTAGTCGCCACTTACGACAAGCATAGATTACTAAGCATGCTGGGTTATTACAATTCTAACACGGATCTTCACGAGTCCTTACATGCACCGGAAATACATGAATTCATTTTGCATTGACAAGGCATTCATACAATGTTTGATCTTTTATATTCGACAATTAGAAAAGATTAATATTTTTAAGATGCATTTTTCCGAAGCGGTTTCAACAATTCACTCACGACGTAGAATGGTATGGATAGATGCACGTCGAGAACACCTGGTGTCCACCAATGTTTGCAGTGGGTATAATGGCATTTATGAAATAGTATTAGAAAAGATGTATCATAATCCACATATTAGAAGAATATAATAAACAGTAATATGACCATCAGCTTCTGACGCTCAAGAAATCTAGCGTCTATGCCCTCTTTAAGGTCACAGGATGATCACACCGTTCGACATAATCCAGTGCCTTCTTGACAAAAGAAGAAAGGTATTACGAATCAAACAATTTGTAATCTACTAGGAAATGTACATGTTATAAAAATGTGGAAATGAAATGCACAACATGATAGTTTTCAAAATTTTATATGGATCCAACAGAAGAAAACACGACGTGCCAAGTGTCTCATTAATGGTAAGTGATTAACACTTGGACATACAAGGCTATGTGGAATATTTCCCATAGCGGTCTGGTCAAGACAAAGAAAGCTCCGGTTTAAAACGCTTACTTGATTAATGAATGTTTTCTGTACAAAGAGTAACGTTGTTTATTCATACTGGCCCTATGGTCCACATACACCGAATAAAACTATCTGTAAGCTAACAGACTGATGGCACACGGAGTTCTAATGAAATACCATTCCAATTTAATTTTTCGGACAATTATATGGTATAGATATGAACATATTTGAAAAAATAGAGACTTAAAACTGACTTAATCGTTGCTTATGTACTGTAAAACGATTGGTCATTTAAAGATTTATTTATGTTTTACGTAGAAAAATATCGCATGTATTGTACAAAATAGATACTGTGGAAAGTTATTATAATGTATATGAGATGCCGGTCTTCATACCCACAATACCTTGTAAATATAATATCTTTTAAATATAGCTTGTGCTAAGCACATCATGACAAGAAGGTATACTAAGTGCTATACTACATCATCAAAGTACAGAGTTGTGTCTCGAAGTCAGAGAGCTATGATCAGGGTTTGCCAGCACGATACCCAAGCTCTTTGGTTTTACATCGAAGGGCGACCTGAATCAGTTCGGGCTTTCCGCACACATCAAGTTGACGTGCCGTGATATGGTAAGTTGGTTGGTTGGTTTGTTTGTTTGTTGTTTAACGCTTCACTCAGCAATATTCCAGTCATGTGGCAGCGGTCTGTAAATAATCGATCAGACAATCCAGTGATCAACAGCATGAGCATCGATCTGCGCAACTGGGACACGATGACATGTGTCAACCAATTGCAAGTCAGCGAACCTGACCATCCGATCCCGCTTGTGGCCTCTTACGACAAACATGGGGTACTGAAGACTAATATTATTAACATCTACTGTGAGTAGTGAAACCTTCGGATACCACTGAGACCTCTAAATTCGGCAGCGACCTGTAACCTATACCTAGCAAACACTAATGAAATATGTACAACTATTATATGTACCCTGTAAACATGCATTAAGTCCCAGCTTAATGGATCAGGCCTACTCCACCCCTCATCATCTTACGCATGCGGAACCCACAGAACACAATATGCAGATAATGACCCCAGCAAGGAACAACGAGTAGTCCATGTACAAACTGACCATCCTACTTGACCTTTATCCTCTAATTTCGGCTCTGGGCGTTTGTACATACAGTCCCAATTAAAAATTGAAAACTAATGTTGTCATATGATCTTGTATAATGTGCTGCTGAGAGTAATGCTGATTGACAGGTCCACAGACCGGTCATATAATGATTACAACATCAATATGGTCAAGCACAGCCTGTGCAAACGAAGCCACATTAACGTGCTCTCCACAGACACTACAAGCAACACGGTCGCGTCTAAGCCATCAATACAATGTGAAGCATACCTCGCACAATATTTTTCAGGGTTAACGCTTTGGAGAGCAAACGCATGCTTTAATGTTTATGTAACTCAATATTTCGGAATCCATTTAACTTGTGATGTAAATTATGCAGGTATCATGGCCAGAAGCCTCATTATCTTGGTTTCTCGTTCAAGTGTATTCATGAGTACACGCCACTGTATAATGATATCCAGGTGCCGGAGATTACGATACGCCAGCTGTCCATACATCAAGGTAGGAAGTGATGCATTAGATCCATTGATCAAGTGGAGGTATGTGACATAGATATGAACTGTATGCAGCATTAATGTAACCTGGGTAATGTGGACCATGTTGGTTAAAACCACGTGTTTTGTGTGGGCAGTGTACAGTGAAATTCAGATGATCTCGATTCGGTGGTTAAAACAGTTGGCTTTGTGTACGCAATGTAAGCTTCTAAGTCCGTTTGACTGAACTCTTTTGTTGACAACGCCTTTTGTGAATACAGTAGACAAAGACATCCAGTTCGTCTCAACCCAGTCGGTTAAAACAGCGCCGTCTGTGTGCACAATGTAAGCTTAAAACTCCGTTTGACTGAAAACGAAAGACATCCAGTTCGTCTCGACTTCTTTAGTTCAAACGCCTTCTGTACACACATTGCAGCATCTCTGATCTGGACCACGGTTGTTGAAACAAATCCTTTTGCAAGCATGAGTGGATTGTGCATTGAATTCCAGATCGTCTCAATCCCTTTGGTAAAAACGCTTTCCGTATGCACAATGTAATGTCGCTGGTATGGGCCCTTTTTTGAAATAATACCTTTTTAATACAATGTACATTGTGATCCAGTTCTACTTAACCTCCTTGTAAACATAGCCCTGTCTGTATGCACAAGCTACCATGTAATCATGTTAGTGTGAATCACTTTGGTGCAGCTGGTTACATAAAGACAACAGTAAAACAGTATCTTCATCATAGGAAATTTAGTAGAAACTGGAGAGTCTGTTGTACGATTCCCACTATATCATAAGCATGCGAATCATTATTAAAGCAACACTTTCTGTGAGTACAGTAAAATCTGGTATGGACGCTCATGTTGAACACATATTTTATGATCAATTTGAAAGCTATCCTCACTGGTTGATTTGGCCGGTGCCGTTCATTTTCCGAGGGTGTATTCATCGGATAGTGACATCAACAAACTGTTAGACTGACTGACTGAGTTTAGTTTTACGCCGCTTTTAGCAATATTCCAGCAATATCACGGCGGACAAACTGTTAGAATCATCATAGGGTACAGCTGAGACATTCTTTGATTACACTGCAACTGCAACTCAATGTGACACTGAGTGTCTCCGGTAAACATGTAATCAACACTACATAATCATCCAGTTGTGAGAAGGTAACTATTTGGGACAGCTCATTCAAACCAAAACCATCATTTCCAGATGTAACTGCGCTGTTTCTTTGGTAGAGGCCTGGTGTCACTTCATCATGATGAATACGTTTTAGACCAGAAGGGTAACAACACGGAAACACTTGCTTCACGTCATAGACCTATAAGTAACAATGTTGATACGTGTAATGACATGGACGTTACCGCACCATGGGTGTAACGTTATTCCTTTAAGATTGAAGTAAATATTTTCTTTCCGAGTCGTCATCACTGTACTGTTTGTCTGATGTTTGGGTTGTTTCTGGAGCCTCCATTCTGTTGCAGCAAACCAGCTTCAGACATGGCATCCTTGAATAACTTTTCTATACCGCCGTCACAGCCATGCCTCCTTTCACTGGACTGTCAGCACCAGGGGCTGTTACAAGCTGGACCGACGTCAAGCCAGTGCTGCTGTAGGTGCCGTAGGACTTCCCTTCCCCGCAGAGGAATGAAGGCTTCCGGGTGGCAATACCAAGGATCTTCCATAAGCCTGAATATACAAAGATGCTCATTTTAACAATATTCCAACGAAAATGAGGTACTGAGAATCTATTACTTAACACCAATGAAAGGGTACATTACAGGTTTTATGTCATTGTATCGCATGGTGACAATCACTGGATTGTCTGGTACAGACTCGATTTGTTTACAGAACAACATCATACTGCAATGCAGCTCAAACAAATATATCTTCATGATGCAGTCACCATTGTACAATCGACTCTGCTTTCAGCAGGGATGTCTTATGAATGTGGGAAGAGTTATGTCGCTTCTATTATGTCATTATGAATTGGCCAATCTAGCACATATGCATTTTTATACCAACGTGCCTAAGGGTCTACAAGGCATGAAATTCTGCTATTCCAGTGAGTGTAATATGCAACCTGTATACATAAAGAGGTTGCAGCTGATGGATCGGAGAGGGGAACACATGTACAAGGTGAGTAGTATCGGTACAGGATAGATGGGATATATATAATTATATATTACTCAACCTATTGATCCCCATAATATGAAACCTGGCCCCGATTCCAAGAAATTGGAGTGCATATGTTCGCTTATGAAGGTTAGTGGTCTGATAACAAGTTGTCATATGTTATCATAATTTACAGCATTATATTCCATATAGAAGTTACATTTGTGACTTAATCTTTTTTGCAATGTAAGTTCACACGTATTATGCCAAGGTAGTTCAGGAAAATACACCCACGAATTACTGTAATGGACCTCTGAACAGGTGGTCGCCACACTAACGAGTATGTATCTGTCACACTAGTGGCGCCAGTTGTTGTTCACAGTACAGTTGGTCAGCAACTAACAAGGACCTTGCCACCAGAACACAGAACTTTACTCTCAGGTAATTTGGGGAAGACAGCCTTGTCAATGCTTAACAACACATGGGCGACGTTGGCCCATATCGTTTCGCCCGTTAAGATATATTCTGAGAATTGAGACTATTCTGGGATTGGCAAAACTGAACACTCTCGGTAGCCATCGACTCATTTGTGTTTTATGGAAGATTGAACTGCCGTACCTATCTACGGAAAATATATGAAAATAAGATATAAAAGCGTATAAGATTTTTTTTTTCATGTTGGTGTCAAGCACAAAAGAAGCAAACTCATTTATATATTTAATTATCCGCAATAGAAGTAAAGACCAGAAAATCAAAGTGTGGTCACCTGCATGAAACCGTTAATTATCAACTACAATTTATACTAGACTAAGTCTACTAAATTTACATCACATGTTAGAATGGCCACGTCAAACGAACCCCTATTGTGGGATTTACTCCATGGAACCACGGAATCCTGCAAAACATAATTAATCCGAAATTTTCAAAACAATATATGGGGCATACAGGGTGATAAAGATGCATCCTTCATCCATGAATAGAAATATCTAATTAAGTTATCCTTTGTATGCTAGTTTACGATAGCATGACTAGCTGATAAGTATGTCATCTACTGCCTGTTATAACATCTTCTATCGGCCATAGTTATACTTGGAACTAATCTAGGTAAGGGTATTTTATTGTAAAAAACTGGTACTTGAACATTGGACGTTATGGTGGTTTTTACTTAATGAGTTGGACATATAAATTCTTCACATGAAATCATAAGAAGACCATCAGGAATGTTTTATATAACAGTGTGCATGTTCGTCTTATTGTATGTAACAATATATTGTTTGTCTGTTGCTTAATGCCACCCTTATAAATAATGCAGCTATAAGACAGCAGCCTGTAGATAATCGTGTTTGGAACAAACAATCCGGTAATTGAGATCATGAGCAGAGATTCATGCATCGAATATACGATGACGTGCACTCAACCAAATGAGGGAACCTGCTCTTTAGCAAGTTTAATAATAATAATAAGTCATCTTCTATAGCGCACAGTCTCCAAACACCAAGGGATTGCTCGCGGTGCTTAATCAGAATCCGATTCTTATTACCCCGGATAACCCAAGCTGCCTCTTAGGCGCTAGAAGGTTATAGTCACATGACTTTATCCAACCGGGTACCCATTTTCTGTTGGGTGAACAGGGGCAATTGTGAACAAACCCATTTGCCTGAGGTGAGACCACATGTATCACATGTGTTTCGTTGTGGGACAGGACTGAAGTCCTAGAAACTGTCAGGAGTCAAGCTGCCAAACACGGTCACCCATCCAAGGACTGTCCGAGACCTGAGCTCTGTGCACAGGACCACACGCCACGTTTGCTGGGGACCTACGTATACGTTTGTACCCAAAGGTCCAAAGAGTTTTCAGATAGATTTGAGTCAGGACACTATATATTCATCGAGTCATTTAGTAAAGAAACGACAGGGTTCTGACCGAACTGATAATAACTAACGTGATAGGCTATCCTATTACTCGTTAAGTGGTGTCTTTGTTGTAATGAAATGTTTCATTTGACTGTAACTCCACAAGATGTCCTTCTGGATTTGCGGACCTATGTGGCGCTTGTAGTTCAATGATGTGTGCGGACACCTTGTTTGATTGGTGCCTACAAGTGTCATTGGTACAGTATGTGTGTACCTAATTGTATCACTAATGGTCTAAGGTTATAAATAGGAAAATTACATACTGAGAATTACAACTGTTGACTGAATTAGGTTACCTGCAGATACAACAGGACACAAAACCGTCAGCACCCTTTGCTTCCACACCTCTTTCCATAAATGAAACATGGCAAGCTTGGCAGTGTTTTTGTACACTTTAATGGAACTTATCCTTTTTTCAAATTAAGTTAATTGAAGTGTCTGTCCAATCTGTATGTTGAACGAGTGAATATCAAAATATATACCGTTCAAAATCACAACAACATCAAGACACCGCACCAAAATTATCTTCATATTGAACCAAATGTGTCAAATCAATCCTGTGTTCGCTGTGACGAGAGAATGCTGTTTGGCATATTCTGCTGTCTCGTGGACCCCTACCTCCATAGATAATTGGCAGAAGGTTCACAAGATGTTGACACAAAGAGTAATGAATATCTCTGAATGAGAGTAATTAGCATGTGGAAAATAGGAGGTCTGATTGTATGCATGTCAAATTAGATGGAAATACAGGTGTCCGGAACATTAAAAGATGTACCGAGTGTACAAAATTGGCCTGGATCACAAACTGCATCAAAGTCTTCTGTTATATGTATTCATGGCTACTTTTATAGCATGCTGTTCTAAATAGGTACTTGAGCATTTACAATTTGGTTGTGTCAAAGTAGCATTGTGTTGGCACAGCCAATACTGCTTCCAAGGCGGTGGGGTAGCCACGTGGTTAAGGCGCCACGCCCGACACCCAAAGTTCACCCATATGAGTGAAGTGTCTCATGTCGATTTTGTGCTCCTGACATGATATTGCTGGAATACTGCAAAAGCGGCAGAAAAACATACTCACTCTTATATTCCTTCAACAAAAGTTTCGCACAGTTTAGTCAAAATGTTAAAAGTCTGAGTCGCTAAAATACCAAATATAGTAATGAGGTCGAATGAGTCATGACTTGGCATGAAACAAAGGTCCTGATCATGGATACAGCGTAAGATATATTATATGGGCTACCAGTAGCTGGCTTCATATTTCTCATATATAATATTAATAACGAGCAAATATAGCATTTCAGATATGTCTGGCTTTGGGTTCTCAGACCAGCTTCCTATTTTATTAATTTTCCAGTTTCTACTATAGATGACTATTGGTATCATTGTTACACATTATGTCCACAAGATGTAGAACCATGTGCGATGTACATCTTGCAATTCGAAATGTTTGTATTGCTAAAAGTATAAGCTCACTGGAACTGCAGAATATGAGAATTGTGAAAACGTATAGAAATTAAGACATATAGCAGATACGTTCATATCAATGAATTTAGCGCATTTACTGAGTTGGTTCTAACAAAAAAACCGATATGTCAATTTTTAATTACGTCTGCCGTAGTCCATTGTATTACGTATTTTCGTTCAAAGAAATTGGAGATTAGCAACAGTACACATATTCTTAAACCACTCACTGCACTTAATGTATAACGGATTCCTATCTTCCCCATCATCCCATTGGCGGCCATCGGGAATTTCAAAATGGCCGCCACATTCAATAATGTGCCACCCTCTTTGCACCTTTACGGTCGGTTTCTAGTTTCACTAAATATTCGAAAAATATATGATATTAAGGATCACTTGTATACACCCAAGTACCAAAGACACAATTACTGTGTATACATGAAGGGAAAAATATGTACCAAATTGAGACACTATGTGTTTCATATCAGCTATTTATGATAACTATCTATACACTGAACTCCCAGACACCTATATACTGTTATACTTAAATAAAAGTGAACATAATGCAATGGACTACTCTGTACGAGTGCAGAGATACAGAAAATATACTAGTGGTAAATATGGTAACATATGGTAAATATATTTATAAACGTAAACCCCATTCTGCAGAATACAGATGGGTGTAAAATTTGAAATGGCAGTGAGAACTAAATGAATTGATCACTGAAAATCATTGATGCCACCAGGTGCTTGCTGAGATGGTAAGCATTCCCTATCGGTAGGACTCAGCACTCACACAATTTGTATAAAAAGGGTGAGTATTTGATGTCTGAAGCCGCGCTCAGCAGGCACCTGACATGCGACGGTGGCATGAAAAGAAACCAGACAATCTGATGATGGACCAAAGAATCTAGTGACACAATATTTACGAATTTTGTAGAAAAGAAAAAAATTCAACCCTTACCATTCGTGTCCCGCAACAATGAATGCGTATCTATACTCACAACACTAATTTAGGAGAGTCAACCCTGCAATCGTGGTCTGCTGAACATGGGTCAATGGACGCATCATCAACTGAAGATTTATATCTCTTTGTTTTCTTTTCTACCTCACCATTCATTTTAGCTATACGTCTAATTCAACTGAAACCCGATCCCGTGTTACAAGCATGGTACACGCGTGTGACACGGGATTCACACGCGCTGCACGCTCGTGTCACATGCGTGTTGTCGGCGTTCTCAACGCGTGTAAGGGGAATGAACTTTTAGGCAGTAGTGTATTTCCCTGTGGAGATTCCGCTGCTGCTTCGTTTAAAAAACACGTTCAAGAAATGTTTTCGTGGTAATTTTACTGACTAGATCCAAACACTTTGTGTAGATCACTCAGTATGATTGAGAAATTATAAGTAAAAGTAATATTGATCATCACTTGAAGGGATTTGAACAAATCTGCCCTTTTCACTCGTATTATGTATATATTTGGTCATGTCAGAACTTCAAAATTGCATGTGAAATAATGAAAAATGACTATTTGTCAATTTAAAACCAATATTTCAAAGTTTTGTATAACTTTAAAATTTGACATTTCCAGTGGGCAAAAAGGGCCAATACTAACTTCTTACTTTTCTTTCGTTGCCTCCGATGGTTAATTACAATACGTTTCAAGCTCAGTGTGAGTTATTCTTGGCAGCGTAATGGAAAGGATGCTTCTAATCAGGTTTTTCGAACAATATCGTCCTAAATCCTAGCTCTTTTACATGTGGAAGGCTCATTCATGAAAAGGATATACACAATTGCATAATACTTTAAGAGATCTAAAAATTTCAGTGACGTCATTGCTGAACAAATAAGTTACCCAATCCGCAGAAAAAACACAACAGTGAGAGCCATCGTATTATGTCTGGTTGGAGAATGCATTGTGGATCCTAAAGTATACCTAAAAGTGAGTGCAAGTGTTTACACTCTGTTTCGTTTGTAGATCAGTCGTGTATAGAATAGTGATTAAACTGCAATGAATCAATTGCTATACATCGGATTCATATTTCAAGTGTTAAAGCTCAGGGGAGGTTGTTATTCTGGGAATATGGCATTTTGTTGTAAAATACAGGCATTGTATTTCCATCATGTATTCATTACCTAAGCAAATCTAAAAGAAAAGAAGACAACAATGGCAGAGAAGAAGAAAACATTCTCATTGTTGTACGTTATCCCTTGTGGTTAAACCATCGCTCGCCAAGTAGATGACTCGGTTCACTTTTTAACACGTGTTCAGTATGACGTCAGTTTGTGTTCCCCATTTATCCACTCCCTTTAACAAACAACCTGTTCCAGGGCATGTACACACAATGTACATTGGTTTCCTACAACACTCATTGTCTTCTCACGAACCAGTAGATATTCTATTTTAATGTAAGCAAGCATTATATCATCAATGATGTGTTTGCGCCAAAGCATTTTGTATTCTTGATGGAATGTGGTGCATCATTTGTCAACTTAATTGCATTTAGTAATCAATTATGGGCTTCACTTTAACCAACTTAATGTTATGGTCTATAATTACAAGATACACAGAGCATTCTATTTAGAGTAGTTATCAAAGCAGCCTGGCCGGCGTCTTATCCACTCGATGTAATTGAAAAGCAATTCTCATTAATATAATGAAGAGAGCTAAGCACTTGAATACTCACCTTGTTTAAAATTGTCATTAAATCCAGCATAAATTAGTGGGTTAAGAGCGCTGTTGCAATACGCAAGATACCTGGCTGCAAATTCAAACTTCTGATACCAATCTCCCATCTGAAATAGAGTCAAACAAAATGGTTGAGTGAACTGGGTTTGACACCGCTTTTAACAGTAATCCAGATGATTGTGGGAGGAAGGCCCGAAGTCTGAGACATTTGATGAAACACACGAACATATTTATATAGTGCTGGCAATCCCAGGAACATAATCTGGGCGAACAGTGATTCGAACCCACATTCATGGGTTTCTGGCGGTCACAAAGAAGGGAATCCTGCACAGCTAAGCGGGGCTATCCGTACCCTCAAAAACATATATCAATAAAGTGAAGGTCGTACATGTATCAAAGAAAAATATGAAATGAAACCTTTAAAATAATTGTCTCAACAAATTTTAAAAATCAAAATGAGAACCGCTAAGAAATGAATCATGTCATCTACATTTCTTTTCGCATGATGTCTTGCACATTTACAAAATATTTGAAATTACGCGAAAAACACGAAAACCTCTTTAGGCTTAGTTGTTAACATGAAATGTGATACTGCGAATCTGTGGATCGTGTTAAGAGATCAGTCTTCAGGAAAAGTATAGGTTCAAGTAGAATTTTTTGCAAACACTGATGAGTATAATTGTCTACATCCAACGAGGTAGATGAAATGTCATTGCACCTCAAGGAATCTGTACAAGAACTCACAATTGGCTCACAATGTGGCACCTCCGGTTGTTCTTTGAGGACGCTTGGTTTTGTAGTGACAACCTTTTGAGATCTCGTTGTGGCGTCCAAAGACATGGCAACATTTCTATATTGACGTCATAGAATTTCGAATAAGCTTCGTTCCTTCAAACCCTATCACGTCATCTGACGACACTAATATCTTATTGCTTTTCAGAATAGAAAATATCAATTATTTACAAATGTTATCATTTTAATACGAAACAGGTGTCGGTCAAAATAGAAAACTGTGGGAAATCCAAGACTCTTGGTTGTTGTGAAGCTATTCCAATTTAGATAATGTCAATTAATGCTACATGGAAACCTAATTTTAACATACTACGGGATATATACATACAGGAATGCATAGTTGAGGAATTCTGATCTGATTCACCTCTTCCATAAGCAACTGTGAGCTCCTCCAGGAACAAATTAATTCCATATTAACGTCACGTATTTAGCAACACAGTATTGTTAGTTGATGAATGTCAAAAACGGACACATAATATCACGGTGACCTGAAAATAATTGAGTTTGGGCCAGACAAGCCTATTGATAGTTGGAGCAGTCTGCGGTAACTGTCGACGAAATCACAACATTGTTACAACTGTTGTGTCAAATGTCTTCACTCAAAGCAAATTCAAATGTTAATAGAGTTTGTATTAACCGAGGTCCAATAGTATACAAACGAATAAATGTGTTATAAAAATATAAAATACGATTTGTGAGATTGATATAAATTTGATTTGCATGAAGTTTCACATATAATCGTTTTTGTTATGAAAATGGTTAAAATATATAATTAAATAGAAATAAAATGGTTATTTAGTGGTAATTCATTCTCTCTGACATCAAATTTCCATTGCAGTGTTTCAGCCTTTTTACAATTTGATAGCTTTTGTAATTGTAAAATCTAATTTTCAAGGGTATAATCTATTTTGCCCTGATCATGAAGTTCATGTGCGGTTGGTTCTAATCAGAGTTGCTTGTGAAAATTGTATTTTCTGCCAAAATAATCACTACAAAATCATTACAAAAACTATAACCAAACATTTTATGAATATGAATTGCGCCCAGTGAACTTGTTATTAATTCAAACTTAATGAAAACGGTTTAAATGCAATTACAAGGATAAAGAATATTAATTTTGACTTTTTACAAGAAATTATCGTTTCAGGTGTCATTAATTTCAGGCGTAATAAGAGAAAATAGACAAAATACGTTCACAATGATCTCGTTTACACAGAGGACGATATTGTGAAATGAAAGATAGATGTTCCTGAAGCCGGATGACGATAACATTCATCTCCTAATCTGAAACATTATCTGACAGTTAAATCCTTGATATGTCTGGTTTCTATGGACGAAGCAGAGATGTTATTTGCTTATCCCGTCGCGACAGTATCTGAATTTCACGTCTATACTTTTACGAAGTACTTAGTCCGACTTCCATCGGAATAAAAATAAGATACCGTTTAATTAAGATATGATTTGTCTGTCTCAATCAAATGTCCTTTGATAATCAAGTATATCAGCAGGAATGCAGAAATTCATGGGCTTGTCGGGGAGTTTTAAACTTTCAGTGAAAATTGTTCGTACACTTAATGGCGACTTTCCATTTATCATCCCAAACTTATCTTCCAACTCTTTCAGTTTGTAAAGATTGATAACTGTTGCCGTGGATGTGTAAAGCTCAGCCAACCAGTTCAAAGTGAGTGAATATTGCTTAACGCCGCATCTGCGTTTTACTAGTAGCGGCGAGCCAGCGGCAGATTAGAGTCATTAGGCTGTGACGTGATGCTAACCAATGAAGTCTGATCTGCAAAGCGTTTTGATGCAGTTTCACCAGCATTTGATGTCTACCAAGCGATGTCTCCCGTGTAAGTAGGTTTTCGGTTATATTTGTTCCCAATGGCGAAACGATGAGCATGGTTCAACAGTCCAAGGTTCCATTTAGAATATGTTTTCTGCACTCAGTGGATTGGATGGTCAGGAGCATGTTGGAATTTCAATGTGCGTTAATCAACACTCATTACAACTGATTTCCAAGATGCATGATCGCACAGTGAATTTACAAGAATTCAGCTTGTTTTTGAAAGAATGTCGTTTTCTTATTTTTTGTTTTCCTTATAATCACGAAATCACGAAGTGAGGAGATTGGTGGTCCATGCGTCGTAATTCGCTGCAAAGAGTTACTTCCCTTGGACAAACATATGATTGTGGGTTCGAATCCCGTTTCACCAACGATATTGTCATTTTTGTTTGGATTTTTGTTGTCATTATTGTTTCCTGTATTCGTTGTAGAACAATACCGTAATTTACTTCGAATTCGGAAACATTAGTTCTTTGTGAGGGGCTGAGGCTCCACAAAATGGATGTACAAGCTCCTCATTTCAGCAGTGAAGGAGATAAGATCACATTTTCACAGCTTGTCTGACCTTGTTAATCATTAATCTATAACCAAACCTATCGAAAATTACATTTCTAGACTGAGTATCTTTAATATAATTGTAGCTTGGTGACACAGAGGGGAATTGACAACTGCTCAAAGTCTATTTTGGCCAAGAAGGACTGCTGTTCTCCAGGTTCGCAAAGACGTCATTCAGATTTTCTTTCGAGTTTAGCTGTCACCCAGCAAATCCAAGGTAATACATCATCAATTGATACCTGATATTATCAATTTTTTTAATGATCAATAATGAGAATTATGACCTATAATGGTAAAGGAGTGTGCATTAAGCCGCGAAATCAACTAAAGGAGTGATGATTAATATCCAATGAAAATGACATCAATAAATAACTGTAGAAGCATTCGGACGCAATCGTTTCCTTGATTTGAATAATTCAATAACTACTTAATCTTACAGTCTGTTATGCTTAGTACTTTTACTACTTGCTCGCCTCACTGCAAAGATAATTTCCAGGAGGAAACGTTGATTTTTATCATTTATTTGATTTAGTTGAAAATACCTTAAATAGCAATATCATATCCCATATGAAGTGGGGGCGGTGGAGTAGCCTAATGGTTAAAGCGTTGGCTCGTCACGCCGAAGACCCGGGTTCGAATCCCCACATGGGTACAATGTGCGAAGCCCATTTTTGGTGTCCCCCGTCGTGATGTAGCTGGAATGTTGCTAAAAGCGGCGTAAAAACCAAACTCAGTCAGTCAGCCATATGAAGTGCATTAGCACTCAGACATATATGGTTTTCTACTTTCATACAGAATGTACGCATAATACAGATATGTCTTAGAAATAATATGTTTCGGCACAAATTTACGCAATTTTAACCATGGTAAGTGTGATATAATTTTATTTATTACTCCATTCTTCACAAAATACGTTTTAATCAATTTTCAGTTCTTTCAAACTCCACTTACAAAGAAAAACTCGGTATACTTTCTTTTGTCCCTCAGCATATATATCAATGTCCAGACAGTGAAAACAAAGACTTTCCCATAAGGATCCTGGGTTCCTATATCAATAAGGACTTTCCGTTTTCAATTTAGCAGTCAATCTGACAGTCTAATAATATGAAAAACGTCAACTAAATATTGTCGGTATGCTTAAATTTCGTTTCCTTAATCGGGTTTGTGTTCAGTTCAGTACTTTATTAACAATGGCAACGAAGACGTCAACAAGTTTGTTCAAAAAAGCTTTACTTTTACCATTTCGCACAAACGTGTCGCCTAACACACATCGCTGACATCAACATAAGAATCTAAAATAGTACTACATTGTGAACACTGCTTGTCTAACAATGAGCGAGTGAGTTTAGTTTTACGCCGCACTAAGCAATATTCCAGCTATATGGCGGCGGTCTGTAAATAATCGAGTCTGGACAAAACAATCCAGTGAGCAACAGCCCAGCAGTGAGCATCGATCTACGCAATTGGGATACGATGACATGTGTCAACTAAGTCAGCGAGCCTGACCACCCGATCCCGTTAGTCCGCCCTTGCGACAGGCATGGGTTACTGAAGATCAATTCTAACCCGGATCTTCACGGGTTCTCTTACAATGAATGTATGGCTAATGCCAGGGACACAGACTACGCCATGGTAGCTGTTTATCACATTGTGATCATTAAGAAAGTAAAGATTAACGTGGTGATCACTTTGTAGTTAGACTAACGTTTAGTCTCTGAATATTAATGATTTTGATAGAAACAAATAATTCCTTTTAAATTGATAAGGAGCCGAGAAGGGAGATTCCGAACGTGAAGAAATCAAGACGTCCTTAATTTAGGGCTTTAGCATTGCATAAAGGGCTATGCAGAAGGGAAAATAATGCAGTTCAGGGACTGTGAGACTAGTTTCCAATGTAACCACAGTTTGAATTCCCGCCCACAGTTTGTCAAGTGCAAGCTAAACTAAGATGTTTGCTGATGCACTTATGCCAAGACGGAAAGTGATATAAGAAGAATCAGATGTTTCTTGTTCTTGAATCCCGATTACTTTCCCCTTAAACAAAGTGGACTGTATGCCAAAATGCTACTTCAAAGGAAGCTAATGACGATACAATTATATATGGCTTCTGCAATTTGCTTCCCAGACTGTAGAGCCGTTAAGGTATTACCCCGATTGGCAAAACAAAGAAAACACTAAGACTGACCGCGGTCACTTTGTCTGGTTCATCTTTACATGCATTAAGGACATCATTTGTCTTCCTCAAATTACAGAATAGGACACAATGTGTTAAATAAGGTACACTGCTCAGAAATGGGAATGTCAGATCTTTCAACGCCATTTTCGAAGATGCGGTATTAGTGACTGACTGAGTTTGGTTTTACGCCGCTTTTAGCAATATTCCAGCAACATCACGGCGGGGGACACCAGAAATGGGGTTCACACATTGTGCCCATGTGGGGATTCAAACCCGGGTCTTCGGCGTGACGAGCCAACGCTTTAACCATTAGGCTACCCCACCTCCCCCGGTATTAGTGAATGCAACTGAATTGATGACCGTCAATTGTGGTCAAAAGCAGAAAAATGCATGGGCATATATCAGAGTATGACAGACAAATTGTTGCTACGCAAGGTCGCAATACATTTGCATTGATAATCATGAATGATGATGACTTTTTGCCTCTGCCTTGGGATTCACAGGTTGTCGCATGCTTTATTTCATCCAACTCTGCATCTTCTACCTCCTTATGGCTTCTTGTACAAATATCAAATGATAATGTCTTGAAGAGAAATAGAATAGGTGCGTGCACCATATGGAGATTATGACATTTGTGTGTGGGCATCCTGCAGAGATGGTTTATTGACACTTAGAAATGATTACGTTTCAACCATTTCTGCAGCCGCATCTCTATATGCTGTTATATTGTTGTACATGAGTTCAGTCCAAAATGAAGACCGTATTGAGGAGGTGGCAATGACACACCATTATGACAAACCCCATTCACTTGATACACTAATTTACCACACATATCATTATGAAATTCCGATATCATCGACGTTATGTATATGAAGTATTTCACGTGAACACACAATGATATTTAGAAATTGGTCAAATGTAACATACGTTATATTTGCGATTACATTTTCTCAGTTAAGTACAAATTTAGTACTTTTATTGGCTTGAGTCCCATCCGGGATTCGAACCCTCACTCTCAGTTAATGAGTGACTTTGTGTGCTGGCGATCAGGTGACTCTGAATGGGAGGATTCTGTAATTTACTGAGAAAGTTAAATTTTCACTCACTCAGTCTGTATTTTCTAAGGCATGTAGACCAGTAACACCCCAACCAGTGTCATGTAACGCCTTGTTTGATTGTTCTACCTATTTTCATCAAGACCTATTTGATGTACTATAGTGGGAATAGTGAAGGCAACGTACCGTGAGTCTTTCTGTGCGATGTTCAGTGTACAGTAGATACACTTGGGTGGGCAGCCAACACACAGCGAACACCACGAGGATCACCACCAACATGAAGATCACCTGTACAACATAGGAACTGAGTATCAAAAGGAAGATTACCTGCCAAACAAGCGTGTCAAGTGCTTGCATAAGGATCACCTGCACTAAATTTAATTTAATATTAATATGAGAGAGTGAGTATGGTTTTACGACGCTTTTAGCAATATCACAGCGAGGGACACCAGAAATGGGCTTCACACTGCACATTGTACCCATGTGGGGAATCGAACCCGGGTGACGAGCGAACGCTTTAACCACAATGCTACCCCACCGCCCTTAATATCAATATGAAGACCACCTAAATAACGAACGTAATACGTATCAGAAAGAGGACCACCTACACAGGGAACATATTGGGTATCAAAGAGAGCATCACCTACTTAACTAATTTCAAAATGACCACCTGCCTAAAGAATGGGTTTCGTGTTAACTTGAAGACCCCTTGCACAATCATATTATATGTTTAAGTTTAAAGATCACATATACTCTAGGGGGGTACAAATACATAAATCACTAATTGGCATCGTTATAAATGAAACCCCATCATTAAAACTACTCATTTCGATCTTTAATTGACTTAAATCGACCTTTTTGACAACAGTGCACAATTTTCACCCGCGAACGAAATTTCAACCAATCAGAGTGGCGCGTCTCTGTGACATCATATGAGGAATAGATATGAGGGCCGATGCAGAATTCATGTACATTTCAGGGGGTAAAGTATCTTGTTTACAGGTTTGTATAAACCTGAAATCGTGATGAAAAATGAAAGCTATATGTTCTCACAATCTACTGTGATTTAATTTTGTCTCATGCTTTGCCTAGTTTCCGAGTTACAACTTGTTTTCATAGACGATTCTGTCTAAATCGCTTGGTGTCGCTAGGCATATTTGTTCGAGCCAGACGCTAGTGATAGTTAAAACGATGATCAGCTTCGATTACGGTTAATTTCTTCAACCTAAACAGTGCGACATTAAGAAGGGTGGATGCCTATCAGATGCAGTTATTTGAAAATATCCCCGGTAGTTCTTGTCTGATTGTAATAAAGTATCAAACAGTGTGGGATTTTTCAGGTTTTCTAATGCCTGGACGGTATATGACTGATCCAAAGTGATCCCATTTCTGTGGTTTTTTTACCTCGATATTTAAGCAGTTCATGTAAAAATATGACGTCTATTACGTATTATATTAAAACTTGACATATGATTTATTTGAATCTGTAAACTAAACAACCCTACTTTGCCATTGCTAAAAGAATCTGAAAATTTACTTAGGTAAACAGGTACATACAGTATTAGCACACAGTAAATGCTTATATGTATTTCTTATGCAACAATGAAGTTCTGTTCGTATTCTCAAAACAGTGTCGGCCCATAAGTTTTCACATGAAATTAAAATTGCATGCAATACAGCAATTAATACTCCCTTGTTGTAACCCGTGTTAGGTGGTATAAACCTACACATGTTATTTGTCATCATTCAGTTGATTCAGTTAATGAATTTATAACAGGTATAATTAGTGGTTCCCATTTGGCATTTCTTGTGTCTGGAGTAAATACCCAACATTATAAACATCGATCAAAGGATTAACCGATAACACGCTGATTGATTAATTACTTTTATCTTGCACAGCGGATTTGTCAAAAGGTAGTGTTTATGTATGTAGATTTACTAATCTATACTGAATACACTCTGTCGTGTCTGTGTCTGTGTAAAAACAACATCCTTCTTTCAAAGGATTAACCGCCAGTACATTGATTGATTGCTCATTATTGGCTAACTAAATTACTTTTTTTAAAGAATGGCGGGCATGATGCAATTAGTTGCCAGGTGTGCTATCTTGGGTGACCAATGAGACTATACACCAATGTGAAATACCTGAAACGACATATCACTTTTTCGTATATTTGACTGTTAAAAGACACATAACTTGGAACAGCTGCAGATGAATGGCATATCACTCGTTTTTGTGGATATTGATGGATACATTCCTCGAACAAGGTAATAGCCTGACATTGTTCCTGTAACTTTAATCTGTTTTAATTTTAATATTTGCATTTTGTTTTTATTCATTTGTCGTAGCATTCAACAGAATGACTGTTTTCGCCGTGAAGTGTAATGAGACAGACAACATACACTAGGGCGTGTGTGCGAATTATGATTCACACTGGCAAACTATAGAATGTCTAGATATTACAGTCCTGTTATAAATTCACTATAAGTATCAGCAGATCGCCTGCATTTTATTAAGTTTTAAAACGCATACAAGTATGATAATACACTAATTAGATTATAAGACAAAATATAAAACGTACATTGACTAGTATCTACATACTGGTGAGTGGACGTTAACCACGGGGAATGTAGCAGGAATCTATCGCGCAGTATTGTCACTTCGACCCCTACCTCGCTTCCGTGGAAGAAATCATTATGTTATACGTTGTGTCATGCAAAATCCTTTTGGTCATGATTCAAATATATATTTAACTACGAGTAGAAAGTAGTTTTGATTTTTCTAACTTGATGAAAACAAACCATTGAATCTCATTAATTCTAACAGACTTTAGCCCGCAACTTCACGATTTTCCAAAATGGCGACGCCCTCTCGGGAACATCCGCCAGTCTGAGGATAAATGCTATTTAGGTTTGTTTTCACCGAGTTAAAAAAATCAAAACTACTTTCTATTGGTAGTAAAATATGTATTTGATTGATGGCCAATAGGATTTTGCATGACATAGCTTATAACATAACAATTTCTCTCGTGGAAGAGAGGTGGGTGTCAATATAATAATACTACTTACAATATTATTGTCACTTGGACCACAACCTCGCTTCCGAGGAAGAAATCGTTATGTTACAAGTTGTGTCATGGAAAATGTTTCTGGTCATCAATCATATACATATTTTACTACAACTAGTAATTAGTTTTGATTCTTTAACTTCCGTGAAGCGATCTGAACACAAGCAAGATATCGTTCCAGGCTTCCACAACGCTCGCTTCGCACTCACAAACATAACCCATTTAGAACCAACTGCGGGGTGCTGTGGAAATCTGTGCATCGCCCGAACACTAGGAGCAATTGACGACCATGCAACGATTCGGCATGTCTTCGTTGATGTCGAGAAATCATCAAAATGAGGAGCTTGCTACACATTTTATATACAACTAACTGAAAATCCTTCCTCATAAGACGTCACTGCAGTGCTCTGGCAACAGTGTTACGTAACCTGTCTGTGGTTTCGTTGGCGGGCGAGAGTGAAACAGGCGACTTTTTGACAACTTTTAATCATAAGTAACCATAAGTTTTTTTAAGAATGAATTTGGTGTTCCGCGTAAGACTAACCACATATCTTTCATATGTAATGGTTAAAAGAGTACAAAAAACAAAGTTTATTTGTTCTTTAAAACGAATACCACTTACGCAGAGTTAGCATTGCGTCTTATTTGGGCACCTTAAGCTTCGTATTTAGTAGCGTATCAGCGTGACGGTTACTGGTAAAACAATTAATTGAGTACCATAATGAAGTCTTCCAATCACGTACATGAAGAACATACTGAGTATAAAGATGAAGATCATCTCCACAACATACTAAATTAGTGTCAATGTTCCAGAAGGGTAACCTTTTGGCCAACAGGATCAGCAACAATTTACTCAATTAGGTAACGCTTAATTCTTTGTTTTGAATTTTTGCTGTTTAACGCCGCACTCAACAATGTTCCAGCTATACGAAGGCGGTCTGTAAATAATGGACCAGGCAATCCATTGATTGACATTTTGAGAATCGTTCTACCCAACTGGGATACGATGACATGTGTCAAGTCATGAGCGAGTCAAGACCAACCGATCACGTTTGTCGCCTTTACGATAAGAATGGTTTGATAAAGAGCGGATCTCCACGGGTCCTTGAAACCGTTAAGAACTTGCCTGGTGTATTCATAAGAATGCACATTAGACTTTGATCATTTAAACAATTGCCTGACTGACTGACTGAGTTAAGTTTTACGCCGCTTTTAGCAATATTCCAGCAATATCACGGCGGGGGACACCAGAAATGGGCTTAACACATTGTGCCCATGTTTAAACAATTGAATGGACGAGATGTTTTTTATTAATCTGATATGTCAACATGACCATTAGCATGACAGGGGTCTTTTATCAAGACTCATTTTTTTCTAGATCATTTGAAAACATGAAAAGGGTAAAGAAACGTATAGCATACCGACTTTGACAATGGGCATATTTTCTTTTCAAATTTGAAATGTATCTTTCTTTCTGTACGCAATGTACTCCTGATGTCAGAATTCCGAAACGTTTATGTCTAAGAAAAGAAAGAGAGGAAAAGCTAGCATCGACGTTTGAGTACGTCTGATTATTTGATACCAACAATTTTATTCAACCCGTGTTGTGGTTAGTGTCCAATAACCTCTAATCATAATCATTCATTTCTTGCTTATGAAAACAACTTTAAACGACTGGTTCCTCGACTAACACCAATGTATAATTGTAAAGCTGTACAAAGAATCTTGCTAGCAGACTAAGGCTGACACAAATACAGTTATAAACGACGTTCATTAGTTTAAAAAGGGGGAAGGGGAGACATGTATATGGTATTGTTTATCCAAAACGGGTCTTCGAAATACGCTTACCATACGCCATCGATCACGTGGAGGCAAGATGCTGAGTAGGAAGAAGAATATGTAGTGCTTAGGGTTTCCTAGTCTCCGGAAGAGAAATTAAATTAGCTCACATTTGCTTTACCGTCTAATGAGAACCGGGCGCTGGCTGGCAAATAGAATATTCCACACGATACAGTAGTCTGCACTGAGGTTATTGCTAAAAGCAAGAAATTAATTTTCAGCGAGCCAAAACACCTTCCTTGGTAGAGTATTGATTTCAATATGGATGATCTATAGGCGGACACTATGGATTAAGTGCTTTTGTCAGGTCGCTCACAAATTGCTGGATGACATGCTATCACTTCATAATCGAGATATATATATATCCAAGAAGACAAGTCTTTCCAACTACATGTATTTATGCAATTTCTGGTTCATAAGAAGGCATCAACTGATGATACTATTATGAATATTTGAGAACTGACAGTACAGTATAAAGTTTATAATCTCATCAAAATTAATACATATGACGTAGCTCTAGATGTTTCTGAAAACATGTAAACATATATCTTCTCAAACATATTTTTTCCTGCTAATAACAGCGATACAACGAACACCCGTTATTTCGGACAAACCATTTCCAGCGACATATCCTTGATTATTGATCATTCGTCAATCATCTGCACGTACTTATAAAAACGTTATGAAATAATCGCCCGGTAAGCAGGGTTTCCGGAATAACAGGGTTTCGCTGTATATGCCTCATACCTTCTTTCTCGCTCTGTTCTGGCCCGAGTTGTTACGTGGCACGTTTTCCCCAGGTGCTGTTTGTGTTTTGAGTGTCCAGATGATGACTGAGTAGGCTATGGACATGACCAACATTGGCATAAAGAACAATACTACAGAGACACCTGTGTAATAAGCAGTTCGCCAGGGCATTTCAACTCGTGTTGTATTCGTGACTGGATCCAGTATGTGTGCCACTGGCCAGTCATCGTCACACCACAGTTCTAAATGGTCCTTCCATTGACGTCTATTTAAAATTCGGAAAAACAGCAAAGGAGATCCAACTATCACGGAACACAACCATACAACTATTATGGAGGTTTTAGCTTTCCTTTCTGACATATGCGCCTTCATTGCGAAAACAATTCCAAAGAATCTGTCGTAGGCGATTAAGGTCAAGGTCAGCACACTGGCAACAAGGGAGAGAACTGAAAAGAATGAGATGAAAACGTTAGTTGCAGAATTAGATCTCATATGATGCATGGAAATATTGATATTGACTGAGAAAATGATAATACGGACATTTAACACACGCCATGCTTGTCGCAAGAGGCGACTTTCGGGATCGGGTTGTCAGGCTGTTTGACCTTGTTGGTGCGTGTGATTGTGTCATATTTGGGTAGAACGATGCTCATGATGTGAACCACTGGACTGTTTCGACAGCCTAACACCGATGTGTCGCACTTTGATGTGTCGATCTTGCGGTTGTCTCGAAGGAATGTATGCTTTCTTTACTAATCAATTTTGGTTGTGACGAACCTCGGATAACACGAACTATTTAGTAGCCTAGTGGTTAGAGCGTTGGCTCGTCACGCCGAAGACCCGGGTTCGAATCCCCACATGGGTACAATGTGTGAAGCCCATTTCTGGTGTCCCCCGCCGTGATGTTGCTGTAATATTGCTAAAAGCGGCGTAAAACCAAACTCAGTCAGTCCATCAGTCGACACAACGGTGCTTGTCTGTATTAACATAATGCCGTCATAAAGCTGGATTATTGCTGTGTGGGGCGTTTTACAACAATTAGACAATACCGTCACCGAAACATTGCACTGGACATCATTTTGACCTCAAGTGTCCCCGTCATGTCTGCCACAAAACGTTGAAAAAGTTAACCAATCCGTGCATTCTTTAGGATTGAGCCTGCAGCAAGTACGAAAGGTATTACTGATATCACACAGGCGTGGGTGCTTTTTGATCACTACGAAATATTAATGTAATCAAAATCTTACAATCAATACCAAATATCTTACCCAGCATTGTTACACCAAGACATTGCGAACTTTGCGAACTTTATTGATAATAATTAGAAAGTATACACTTTTTAGGAGATTTCCGATGAAAAACAATTCAAAACGAATTTTTCATGAACAATAATTCAAACCGTATCAATCTGATTATTTTTTATCTGCCATAAAATGGTTACCTTGAGGGGATACATTACCCACGAATAACAAACGCGAAGATTGTATCATTATATTGCTTGATGCCGCAGGACACCGGTTGATTGAACAGCGGTAACAATAAACGGAAAGTAATTTGTTATTCTCCAGTTAAATTGTGCAGTGGTCTGGGCATATTAGACTGTAACTTATAAAGTACAAAATACATACTGAAATATTATTAACTGAAAACATGTATTGATGTTCTGTATACATATACCCTTGAATGTAGTGCGGTTACTGCATTGAATAAAAATGTTAATCAAACTTCATATCACATATTGATCATTCAGTGGTCTGTCTGAAAGAACATGAGTTAAGGAGAGCGATGTAAATGGCACGATGTGCAAATAACAGGATGAATTATTAGAATCGATTGTTTTACTATGATCAAACGACGAGGTCAGAAGGTCACAAGTTCACGAGATATTTTCATCTTGTTATGAAGCACATCAACAAGAAACTGAAAAGATATGAAACTATTTATAGCTGAAACAGGATCATATATTAGACAGTACAATTTTCGTACGTTAACAGAAAGAAGAGAACTTTAACGCTAATCTCCGACATCTCCGTTTACCAACACCGAAATATCTTCTCTGTAATTGCCTCTACTGGTCCCTTTCACATCCTAGCATGAGGTTGCCACGTATACATAATTTGTGGTTTGCATGTGTATATAACTACCATGAGAGGGTTATTCGGTCACTTTTTGGAAAGTGCAGAGATAATATGATAATATGATCATACAAATGCATTTTACATTTTATGTGTATGTGCATATAAACCTTTAAACGGCAAAAGAAAGTATACGTCTCATTTGAGTGATCATATTGTCTTTTTCATTACAAGTTCGAGATATTATAGTAAAATGTACTTTACTTATATGACCCGATGCAGTTCCATTTTTCAAATAATATATTTACTTAGTTTTTAATTTGTACAAACGTATACCCAAATGCTGCCCTTTCGTTTCAAAGTCCTTGCGTTTCAAGTCAATAGAATATAGCGTCACAAAAATATACATTTGAAAACTCTACATAACTTTAGAATAAATTCATTTCTTACCCAAGTTATTGAACCAATGTATTTTAGACAAAATGTCTCACTGCCGATTACTTTTGACAATGCTGCAGGAATGAATGATATTTAATTGAGAAGACATAATCATACTTAACAACTGATAGATCAAGTTTCATACTCAAACAAAAAAAGCTCGACATACTTTCTTTTGACCTTCAGTTTAACTTGTATGGTGGGTTATATAATTATGCTCGCATTGAAAGATGAGTATCGGAAATTTACGGTAAGGAAACTTAGGTTGGTAATAGTCACTTTGTCTTAAAAGTTGTAGTAAAATAGTTTTAGTTTTATTTACTAAAGTAGCTTTAGGAACAATGTACATTGTATGTTACAATGTCTTTGGGGAACAAGTCATTGAATATATAATGCAACCATGTCTATTTTTGCAAATGTATCAGATAGTGATGGCAGAAAAACCGATTTGTTTATCACATTGGTAACGCTACCCATCACCCATGGACAGATCATGACTTACAGGCGTGGGGTGAAGTGTTTCAAACGATTTTGATGTGAAAGTGTTTTGAAATAATTTCCCTCTCCTAGTGTTATAGTTTTTGATGACCAGCCTCATGTCCTTGTACATGATCCATGATCTTCCCCAGAAAGATGAAATGCAAGAGCACTTTTAAAGTATTTGCCACGCAAATATCCAGATTCAGATGCTTTTCATGTTCGTGACGTTTTAGTTCTGAATCTTATGTAATATCTGTACAACTTTCTCCACATACAGGAGGGGGATAGGGAGGTGATTATTTATTTATTATCTATTATTTTCAAATGTTTCAGGTAAGAAAAGCTCATGTACAGGAACAATATATGAAACTGGCAATTCACTACCATCTCATTTTATAATGAGATATCACCTTTTTCTGCAGGACACGGAAGGCTATCAGTGGTAACAATTGTTGTAAATATGTATGATCTGCAGAGGAACTCTGAAAGTGTGGTTTCATCAGAAACGAGAGCATTGTGAAATACAAAAAAACATACAATGCATTCCAAGTGAGTTCATCTCTTGTCGGACTGGTTTGAATTTTTCAAAATTAGGAACTACATCCTGGCTTTACATATAGCAACTGTGATGAAATGACTTCTGGTTTTTTAAGTGGACATGGTTTGCATACAGCCCCGGAGCACCCGAAACTGCAATTCATTAGCTTATTGCAAAGCTTTTCTCTGTATTATTGCTTTTACTTCAGTGTCTACGTGTGGTTAAAAGATGCCCCAAATCAGCAATGAAATCTCCAGCAGCAGCATTGCTTCTCTCATCTTAACATCATCATCAGATTAATAACCTGACCATCTCTACGGTTTGAAACTGCACTTTATTTACTAACGCAGGCTCCTGAGCCTGTACCCCGAAACCCTGCACTGATGCAAACCCTGAAAGCCTGAGCGTGTTCAGTATAATCCTGGATACAATGTCTGTACTTGTTGCTCAAGTTCATACCATTATCCTAATGCTGTCAAATCTTCTGAGCTTTGATTTATAGCCAAATTCAGGTCTGTTGAGCAATCCTGAATCTCAGTGGCAAATTTCCCCAATTCAGAAGACGTAGATTTCACGTTTCTTCCATTTGCCATGTAGTTCAAGCAGCGTTTAGATGATACTGTGTGGCCTCCTCACGGTACTGTTCATGCTGCCGGAAATTTGCTCTTCGGTAATATGCACCATCTTTTTCAGGCATTTCCCCACAGTTCTTTCCATTAAGATTTGCCAAGAATTGGTCTTCAATAACCATTCAACAACCTGTCGTAAGAGTGATCGGGTTGTCAAGCTCGCTGTTGTGTTTGGCACATGTCATCGTATCCTAATTGAGTAGATTGATGCCGTGCTGTTGATCACTGGATTGTCTGGTCCAGACTCGATTATTTACAGACCGCGGCCGGAGTATAGCTGGAATTGGCTGTGTGCGGCGTTAAACAACAAACCACAACAACTTTCCATTAAGTAATTTGTGTGAACACAATGTTTTGTTATGGTACCAATTTCAAATGCATCTGGCTTTTGACATTATGACTTCACAAATTGTCCAAACAGTGATCGAACTATCACATATAACATTGATCTTGAAATAATTATTTCTTGTCTTCGATATTGATTGTTGTCGGTCGTTTTATTGACATGAGTTATTATTCTAAATGCCGAAGGAGTGATTACGAAGTAGAAGCTGTCATCTCTGATGACTGCTCGCTGATAATGTCTGCGACAATTTGGGTTCCAAATTTTCTGGATCAGTATCTTTTCTTAAAGTAAACGTACATAAACTGTTGTGTCTTGTCAATGCTCAGTTCATATCGTTAGTTCACACTTTGCAATCAAATATCAAATAATTGATTTTCTAGCAGATGTGTAATATGAAATGAAAAAAATGTATACCAGCAAAATAGTGATCCTTATATGATCATGATTAGCTATCTTCAAACCTTCTTGTAAGCAAAAGGCAAGTTTCTATGGGTTTTTTTTAAAAATGAACATAAACTTAGTGGTAGATCTAAATTAATTCCCCATGACACGTTCAATTCGTGTATAAATCCACGAGAGCTTACTACAATAACAATATCTCACTCCAACAAGGCTCGAAATACTGGAGTCGGAAATTTGAGGACCTACTCGACTCTCATATGATCATTAACAGCCGTTATAGCCAGACGATAACAATTGCAATATCCGCAGTTGGCCTGTGGTGTCTTTCTCTAACAGTCGCACAAATTGATGGAGGTGAGTATTCCTCTCATCTATTGGACTTTAGACTGATCTTTATCGTTGTCGATGAAACGGGGGTTTAAGACATTTCCTGTTTCTGTTGGGCAATAGTTTGGGCACGTCTTTTGCGTGCTTCGAATGACTGGTTCAAAACACCCTATACATCAAACACGCTCGCAGCAGTCTCTATCACCTGATC